TGCCTTCACCTGCTTGTTTTTGGTGTTAAAATTTATGTTTTTGCACAACTGTTTTTGATTTTTCTATTGGTTTAAACAGGCTGAATGTAGTGAAAGTAGTTCTGACTCGAAACAAATAGTTTTCAAAATAGGTATGGTTCATTTTGTAATATAATTTGGGGTAATCAAGAAAAAACATATTAAACCCATTTTCGCAATTTGACTTATGTAAGGCCCGATTAATGAATCACCTTCATTCTCTAGCTCTTTCTGTAACACCTCAAAATCAGTTCACAAAACAAGAAAATTGATAAGTAAAACAAAAGAATTGCAATATGAATAGAAAAAAATGCATTTCTACTGTATAGCTTCCTGGCTTTTATGTCTTGCGTCAAAGGTTACAGAGTTAAAAGCGCTATAGCTTGTCAAGAGCCTCAGTTTGATTTTCGCGATGTCTTCGAACAGTACCCAGCCAGCGTGCTTGATAACAAAGGACTATGAATACAACGTATCGAGTCTTTCTTTCTCAGTAGTGTTAGTTTCGAAAGGTAATGCAGTTGTTAATGCACTCGCGTCTCCAATAACGGTTTCTATGAACGTTTTGATTATATGGTCAGTACTGGGCAGTCGTCAGCTGCGATCCGTTCGCTACAACACACTCCTTGCTGCTCTCGCTTTGACTGACCTCATTGTCGGTGTTGTAGTTCAACCGCTTTTCTGCCTAAACCTCATTTGCTGGTTGAAAGACTGCAAGATTTCTTGCCGGCGTGACATCATCGGGACATTGTTCATACTCTGTAACTGCCTGACTTTGTGTACAATGATGATGGCATGCTTCGAAAGATACCTTGCCATAGAGCATCCAATCTTCCATAGAACCAAGGTRACCAATACGAGAGTGATCATCGCAACAGCAATAGTCTGGGTTATCATGCCAGCATCTCTCCTGACGGGCAGATACTTTGCAGACACCTCAGAGACGCTTCAAAATGTTTCAGCTGTAGTAGTCAGCTCTGTGATTGCAGCAGTGATTCTATATTGTACAACCAAAGTACATATCACTGCATTTCTTCACAGACGTAGAAGACGCGCTACCAAGGCCCAGGCCCAAAACCAAAACGCTGCAGTTCCGGCAAATGAACAAGAAGAAGAGAAAAGAGAGAAACAAGAGTACCGAGAGGCAGTCACTATGGGCATAATCATCGCTGCATCGATTGTTTTCTTTATTCCGTTGATTATGTATTTTGTCGTCTTTGCTTCTGATGCGAGTAACGACCTGAAGCATTTCATTTTCCCGTCAATTGCTTTCACCATTGTCAACCTCCAATCCATCGTTAACCCTGTTATCATGTCTCTTCGCGTCAAGCCAATTCGTAAGGAGATTGCAAAGAAACTGTTCTGTTTGAGGTAGGTCTTTATTTTTTGCTATATTCTCAGGCTTCTCATCTGCAATAAGTTTGAAGAATTCTTTTCTTGTTTAAGGTGGATCCAGTCAATCACTAGCCTTACTAATGACCAAGCAACTGGTCCATCAGTCGGCCAACCAACCAATCAGCCTAACCAGCCAACCAACCCACCAACCAGCAGAACAACCAAGCAACGAACCAACCAGCCAAACCATCAGCCGGCCAACCAACCAACCCACCAACCTACTCACTCAACCAAGCAACCAACCATTCAGAACCAACGAACCCACCAACCAACCAACCAGTCAACCAACCAGCAGACCAACCAAGTAACCACCCAAACTACCAGCCAGCCAACCAACCAACCAACTTACCCACCAACCAACAGACCGACCAGCCAGCCAGCCAACTAGCAAACCAACCAATCCAACCAACTCTCCCAGCCAACGCACCAACACACCAACCCACCAACAGACCAATCAGCCAACCAACCAATCAACCGACAAGCCAAACATCAAACCAACCCAACAAGACCAGCCAAACAACAATCCGACCAACAAGCCATCAAACTACCAACAATCCGACCAACAAGCCATCAAACCACCAACAATCCGACCAACAAACCATCAAACCATCAACAATCCGACCAACAAGCCATCAAACTACCAACAATCCGACCAACAAGCCATCAAACCACCAACAATCCGACCAACAAACCATCAAACCATCAACAATCCGACCAACAAGCCATCAAACTACCAACAATCCGACCAACAAGCCATCAAACCACCAACAATTCGACCAACAAACCATCAAACCACCAACAATTCGACCAATTAACAATCAGTAGAAGTCAATGACAAACGAGACCAAAAACCTGTTAACAAAACCAGCCAATCAAGTAACCTAACTTCAGTCTAACCAAATAGAATGCCTGCATTTGAAACAGAAGTCAGTCCGTAAATCAACCAGCTGTCACGTTAGCCACAGCAGCCAAAAGAAGTTCATATATTCCCGCAGCCAAAAAAAAAAAATAACCTTAACTGTTGATACTTTACTTAGAAAGTTAATTTGACTATCAATATGTTAGAAAGAGGTGCATTTGGCTTAACTGAAATTAATATAACAGACTGAGACACTTGTATTTGTCAAATTCTAACAAAAAAAAATGTATTTGTGAATTTCTGTGAGGGTAAGAAGAGTGCAATCAGGGAAACATTTAGTAAGAAATTGCACTTATTTAACAAGACAAAGGATTTTACACTACTTTGCCTAGATTAGTTTGCAAACCATTTCACAGATATCTTGATTCTAACATGGTACAACTTAGTTTCCTACAATGTTAGTTTCAGACACGCATCACGCAACTTCTCCACACCAAGTGAGAGGTTGAGTGATGCGTGGCCAAAACTGAACACGGATACGAGGAGATTAAAACTTAGTATAGTGGTTTTAGAGTGGTTTTCATCTGACTGCGAAATAATTCATAAGCTAATAGACACTAGTAGACCCTAGGCCCTTAAAAATACTTTCCTTTGTTGGAATACAATTAATACATACTATTAAATACTGGATATTTGAGTTGTTTCACAGTCAGATGAAAACCATTCTTTTGACTAAATGCTAAATAGTTTGTAATTAGTACTTTTTGTTTCATGGACTAAGTGYGTGTACAATACTGTGGAGGGTAGCTCTTCTATGGACAGATCTTTTAAAAGTAATGTATTTGCAACTTGCATGAAAATAAAATAAAAATACTACTTTGCCTACCGGCACAATCACTGGATTGATTATTTCATGAAAAAGATGCTTTCTTYGATGTCATAAAATAATGGTTGTTCACACTTCGCAGATCAAAATGTCTCTTCATATAGTTTCATCATGACTGACATGGCTTACTGCAGTTTCTATAGAGTTGCAACTGTCTTTAATTATTATACACATTTTCACAGATGTCTACTGTACAACGCTGTTCAGTCTACTGCAGTTTTCAGAGAGTTACTAGTGATGAAACATGAACAATGAACTTCTATCAAGTCAAATGTACAGAT